TTTCCATAGTAATTGATTCTAAAGTGATCTCTTAAATAAAAAAATGGTAACTTATAATGAAAACATGACAAAAGAAAGTGTTATTTTGAATCCATATATAACTCACAAAAAAAGATTTTGCCTTATTCATATATCCAAATAAATCAAGCTTCTGAATTCATCTTTGTTTGGGATATTAATGGATAAAATGCTAATACAAAGAATGTCTACAACTCCAAAAGCTTCAACAAGAAAGTTATATAAGAAAAATAGTTAAAAAAACTCAAAAATGTTTTTTTCTTTTTCTTTTTGGTAATACTCCAAAAAATATATATTTTTCTCTTTTCAAATCATTTTTGAGTATTATTTTGATATTACAAAATTTTAAAAGAAAGAAGATAAAGAGAGAAGAATACTTACCACTCAATGGGGATGCGGTTGCTTTGGCCTTTTCTTCGTTTGGCTGATGATTCCTCTTCCACCACCAACCCCATCTTTTCTTTCTTTTTTTCCCTCATTTTTAAATCCCCAAATCTCTAATTTTAATTCATTTTTAGTCCCAAAAATATATAAAGGCTCTTTTGCCATTGATACCGATATTTTTATTTATTTAATTGCGATATCCTCAGTTAAATTGCTAATAACACTACAAAGCAGTATCAGGAATCTGGAAGAAGCAGCTCCAGAGGCAAAGACTCGATCTTTGTAAGATTTCTAATAACATTTCAGTTTCTCCTTTCTGGGTTTTTGTTTCTTCTTCACAGAATCACGGATTAGTCCGATTGCAGATAACATTTGTTGATGAATTTCCTTCTTCTCTGTGAAAAAATGGAAGTTTGATCTCATTACGATTATTGAGTTTCCTTGATTGTTTTCAGATGTTATATAATGAATCCGAATCTTAAGTTGCAGTATTAGATTAAAAATGTTCTCTTTTTGTCTATAGATTGGATAATGAATCTCCTTTTCATCATTTTTGGACTGGCTTCGAGTAATTTATCAATGTTAATCCAGTGAATACTACTTTGGATGAAGAATGTTTGATATAAAGATGCCATTTTTTGTTTTTTGTGATTTTGACTATTCTTGGATCAAACTGTTATATAGCTTGAGGAGAAGATGAGAGGTGGGAGTCTATGGCAGCTAGGTCAATCCATAACCCGTCGTCTTGCTCAATCTGACAAGAAAGCTGTGTCGCGCCGCTACTTCGCCTCTGAAGCTGACCTGAAAAAAACTGCTCTTTACGACTTCCATGTCGCCAATGGCGGAAAGATGGTTCCTTTTGCTGGTTGGAGTATGCCAATTCAGTACAAAGATTCAAYCATGGACTCAACTGTTAACTGCAGGCAAAATGGGAGTTTGTTTGATGTTGCACATATGTGTGGTTTGAGTCTTAAGGGCAAAGATTGTGTTCCTTTCCTCGAGACACTCGTGGTTGCTGATGTGGCCGGTTTGGCTCCTGGAACTGGGAGCTTAACTGTGTTCACTAACGAGAAAGGAGGTGCGATTGATGACTCGGTGATTACCAAAGTGACAGATGAACATATCTATTTGGTGGTGAATGCTGGTTGCAGGGATAAGGATTTGGCTCACATTGAAGAACACATGAAGGCTTTCAAATCCAAAGGCGGTGATGTCTCGTGGCATATCCACGATGAGAGATCTCTTCTCGCCCTTCAGGTTTGGCTATTTAAGTTGAACTGAATGATTGTTCCTTTTGTTGGTTCTGGTATTGCTGTTTACTTGTAGTTATAGAGTACATTGTGATCTTAAACCTTGCGCTGTAGGGTCCTTTGGCTGCTCCGGTGCTGCAACACCTGACTAAAGAAGACTTGAGCAAGCTTTACTTTGGGCAATTCCAGATTCTGGACATTAATGGTTCCACATGCTTCCTTACTAGGACTGGGTAA